ATTTTTAAAAGTGGCCTTCAGAAGGAACCCATCCTATCACGTACGGCGGCAATCTGAAAAGAGCGTAATCTGCCGACGCTATCAAGAGTAGGAAGAGTGCCGTCTCTCCTGCGGTTTGTAAATGGACTCTAAAGACAAGCGACAGCACCATGTGACCAATGTGAAGTGGCCGGCACTGTCCCAAGCGGAGGCCTTATCTCTGAAGGAGAAAGGGATGGCTGGGAGCAGTGATGGCACCTTCGCTCTCTGGCCAGAGCTGTAACATGAAAACACCCGTCCTTGCTGGCAACAGAGCTAAAGTGGGTCTATTTCAGGTGCTGTACTTCAGGAGGCCGGTGCGTAGAGACATGACAGAATGGACACTGCTCAAGCGGCTGCTGGACGCCGTGCACCAGCACTCCACCATGATCGGACGCCTCTGGCTCACGGTCATGGTGATCTTCCGCCTGCTCATTGTGGCCGTGGCGACTGAGGACGTTTATACGGACGAGCAGGAGATGTTCGTCTGCAACACCCTTCAACCGGGGTGTCCCAACGTCTGCTACGACGCCTTCGCCCCCATCTCCCAGCCTCGATTCTGGGTCTTCCAGATCATCACGGTGTCGACGCCTTCTCTTTGCTTCATCATCTACACGTGGCACAACTTATCCAAGCATCCCGAGGGCGAGCAGGCGAGGGAAGCGTACGGTCGCAGTTGCGATTCGGACAGCTGCTCCATTAAGTCGCACAAGCACTTGGGTCACAGTCTTGCCGATGTTCTCGAAGGCATCGCCAACCAGAGCGGACCGAAAAGCTCACAGGCGCCGCGGGAGACCGGCGCCCCATCCAAGATCCCAGGAGTCCTTTCAAAGTACTACGTCTTCCACGTGTGCTTCCGTGCCGTTCTCGAGGTCGCCTTCGTTGTGGCGCAGTGGCTCCTCTTCGGGTTCCACGTTCCCGCTCACTTCGTGTGCACGGCGGCTCCTTGCACACAGAGGGTCGACTGCTACGTCTCCCGTCCCACTGAGAAAACCATCTTCCTGATCTTCATGTTTTGCGTAGGCGTTTTCTGCATCTTCCTCAACTTCTTAGAGCTCAATCATCTGGGCTGGAAAATGATCAAGAAGTCAATGCTCATCAAGGACAGCTCCTGGAGGGGTTACGGCGCCATAAACCAAGACTCGCAGTCCATAGCCTCTCTAACTTTCAGAGACGTGACCAGCACTACTTCGCTTCCTACCCTAGATCTGGTGGTGGACCACCAGCCTGACTGGACCTGTGTTGGGAACTGCTCGACGAAGAAAGACAAGGACACCTACAGAGGAACACAATCGCTCAAGGGTAAATCGCAGCCAAACAAAGAAAGGAAATCAAAACAAAGGAGCACTGAGGTTTGGATATAAACTCAATTACGGACAATTCGAAGAGTCTTAAATTTGATTACGCAATTTTAGTGTATGTTAATAAATGATCGGTTTTTGAAGGCAGCTGCTGCTCGTTTGCTTAAAAAGACACAAAAATAAACTATACAATGTACAATCAGCCATGACATGTAATCAATATTTCCACGTCATTTATTTATGCAATATACAGTTTGTAATAATATATTCATTTACAACATCTATAAACCATTTTGTGTATAAATTACGCCAGAGAGCAAAAAAGAAAACAACTCGCAAGCCTTTCCTTTCACTCAGCGATGTAGTGATGAACATTCGAGAAGAAATTTCATTAGAACACTGTGAAATTGGTTTAGGAGTAAGTGATAGTGTTTAAAAGGGAAGAGCTATTCTACATCGTAAGTTTGAGATCGAGATGATTAGGGTGCCACATCGTTCATCGCAAATTCATAATGTTTTCACAATCATCTTCAGAAAGTAGTCAGGTAGTTTTTTGTGCAGGGTCTATTTCTGTAAGAATCAGATCATTCAGTTTACTAGAACATCCATTTACTTTTGAATTTAAAGCTGCCATGTGTTCTTTTTTTCAGTATTTTGTGCTGAGACAATTATACACTACCGTTCAAAAGTTTGGGTCGTTTCTTTTAATGATTTTTTTCATGAAAAAAGTTTCTTCTGTTCACAAAGGCTGCATTTTTTTATGAGAAATACACAAACAATAAAATTGTAAATAATATTATTAAAAATTTTAAATAGCTGTTTCCTTTTCGAATATATTTGAAAATGTAATTTATTCCTGTGATGGCAAAGCTGAATTTTACAACAGTGTCACATGATCCTTCAGATATCATTCTAATATGCTGATTTGCTGCTCAATAATATTTTCTTATTGTTATCAATGTAGTGAACAGTTATGCAGATTACTAATTTTGTGGAAGTTATTTTTCATAATTCTTTGATCAATAGAAAGTTTAAATGAATTTATTTTAAAAAATATATAAATCTTTTGCAACATTATAAATGTCTTTACTGTCATTCTGAGCAATTTAATGTTCCTTGCTAATTAACAAAAATATTTAAAAAAAAAATTCCACAAAAAAAAGTACCGTCCCCAAACTTTTGAACGGTCATGTAAGTAGGTTGACTTCCTGAGGATTGTAAACATTGTGGCACTTTCAAAATAGTGCTCAGTTTGGTTTAAGTGGTCTGTAAAATGAACTTTTGGTCGATTTGGGAAGAACACGTTTTTCCAAACAATGGAAGATAGGTGTTTGATAAGAATTTCTGAAACATGGGACAAGTAAAAATATTTAAACAATATCTATATAATTTTTTTAAATTCCAAGATCGATCCTTTTTTGTGGCACTGCTTTTCAGTAACTGTGCGTCCCCGCTGCTAAATCTGCAGCAAAAGAAGTGATATTTTCCTGATAACTTGCAGTATGGATTGAATGTGATGAGATAAAACATTCCTGTATGGTGAAATAATGGCAAACAAATCTTTCAATTAAATTATCTCTGTGGGCTGAACAACAACAACAACAACAACAACAAAAAACGGCGTAAAGTGAACCAGTGTAGTCTAATTAATGAACAAATGACTTTTTTAGCTGGTTCTTTTGATGAATCATTAAAACGACGTTGGTTAAAAAAATAAAAAGAATAATTTTGTAATATAACAAGTTGAAATGTTCATGGCATCTATAGCAATTAGAGAGAATTTCTTTCACATGTATAGTATGATTTAAATATATTCAAATGAACTAGAATCAAATTAAAACCAAATCAAGAGCTTGAGAATGTGATTTGAATCATATTAGGAAATATTTATTATCCAGGTCTATTTGAAAATATTTAGTGGTATTTGCTAAGGGAAGCATCACTATTATTACGGCTCATATTTTTGAGGGTTTGGGTTTGCAACTTGTAACCCTAAGAATTAAACTAAGTTGTAACTGGTCATGAATGATCATTGACATGTTTTTTTTTTTTAAATGCAAAATAGTAGTTTTGGCAACTCCGGTTTGGTGCTGTTAGTGGCACAGAAATTCCACATTGCAGCGTTCAGCATAATTTGTTTCTTCAACTTTTTCTTTTTTTTCCCTTTTTGCTCTCTGACTGCTTAATTTGGCCAGAAAAAGATACAATAGGGAATGACAAGTCAAAAAGTTATTGGTCTGAGATGATTACAACATTTGTGACAGTTGATGGCAGTATCTGGCCAATACAGAAACAAAAAAAGTCATTCAAAGTTCCATTTCATGCATGAGAAACATACTGTTCAGAGTAACAAAAATAATGTTTGACATTAATAGAATACAGTCTAATTTTGGTGGACAAACACAGAGACAAATTTTGTAATTTCAAACAAAACTGGTCTGAATTCGAAAGATGTCCAATTTAGTTTATAAGCACAGGACAGTTTAACTAGAGCGAGAATGTTTGATTAACATCTGCAAATTTTAGAACTCAAATGTCATTCAGATTACGACATAGGTCAAACAAACCACATAGGCGAGCAAAAAGTTCTTGTTACATACAGTACAAAGTTATGATCCATATCAATATATATATTTATATATATATTTTTTTCGCACTCCATAAGATAAGACTGATAAAATTTTGTATTTATCGGCATGGCAGAAAGAGATACAGTAGAAAGTGCAATGTACTAAAATTAAAAAAAACACAACACAAAAAATAAAATGTGCACATCAATGGGTGTGTTATTCTAAAGCTTTAGTGCAATACAGCCACCGTTCAAAAAAAGCACTTGAAGGCGCGAGAGAGCAAAACCCATTAAAACACCCGCGATGCTTACTATGATACCTAAAATCACAATAAGTCTGTAAACGGAGACAGGAAGAGAGTAAGAGAAAAACATTCATAAGAGTAGCAGTCAAGATAGTCACAGTTTTTAGAAAAATTGTGTTTCAAAAAACACATAAGACCACCGCAGGCAGGTAAACCCCATATCAGAGCCAAAAAAAAAAAAAAAAAAAAAACGTACGGACACAGCGAAATATAAATCCACCCCATTGGATGCAACACATTTCCAAATGAACAAGGTGAATGCTGCGTTGAAGCTGAAATAAAACATGTGCATTAAAATTACACTGCAAAAAAAATTAAAAATAAATATCAGTATTTCCAATAATTGTATAAAATAGCTAAACATCCTACAATCTTAATCTGGAGAAACAAAATTGTGTAATAAAAGACTTACAACCATATATATATATATATATATATATATATATATATATATATATGCATGTATGGGCTGTTAAGCTATTCAATTTTTTATCTAATTAATTACATGATGTGCCAATTAATTAATTTGAATTACTCGCAAATTAATCACACATCCATTTTTTTTATAATATCAATTCAAGACAAAAAACCATGCCTTATATCTTGAATTTTAGTGATATTTTAGCTGCATTCTAATCAGCTTCATCACATGGTCAGTTGGTGCCCTGCATCATGTTCTTTCTGCATGATATGCAAGGCCCTGTTTACACCTGGCATTAAGAAGCGGCTATCGGAGCAGAAACGAAAGCTGCTGCTCTCCGTGTGTTTTCCGTTTATCTCCTTTCGAGGTCATATGTAAATTGCATGAGCTTATTTCGTCCATTAGATCGAAAGATCTGAAAAAGCCCATTCATTTACCCGCCCATAGACCCTCCCCTCAAAGAAATCAGGACAGAAGTGGTTGAAAGTGGACAAAAGAGACAGATTAAAACAGCAGGTGTGATCGGGAATGTGTCTCCTTTGTCTACTTGTGATCCGATCAACCAAAAGCATCTTAATACCAGGTGAAAACAGGGCAAAAGATGACGTATAGGTCTGTTTTAGTTATAAAGATGTTTAGATAAATACTGATTAAAATGTTTTCGCAGTGTAAAAACCTAGATGTTGCACCATGACGCCGGGAAAACATAATTAGATAAATACTGAAATGTGAAAGCTTCAAAATTGTCTGTGGTAAAAAGCAAGGCTTTCATTGGTGAGAATGCAGCAGAGGATGTTGGGTGCGTGGACGGTTGAGACAGTCTAGTTTGGCTGTGTGGTCAGTGACCATGGTTGTTGGCTCGGCTCATTGAGGCAGGGGCACTAGGACCTCTACGTAGTTTATGGGGAAGAAGCCCGATTCACCATTAATCATGCCTTCATACCAGTTCTCATCAATCTGATTGGTGAGGATGATGATGTCGCCCTCTTTGAAACCCAGCTCACCCTCGTTCTCCGGATCAAAGTCGTAGAGCGATCGACAACAGGGCTGGTCCATGTGTGATTCTATCTCTGTAATGAGGAAAATACAACCATGTCACAGTTTTAAACATTTGTTAAAAGATTAGTTCACCCATAAATTAAAATATTGTCATTGTTTACTTATTATACATGTTGTTCCAAACCCATATGCTGTTCTATTTTCCACTGGAATAATTTTATGTTCATCCTACAACGTTCAGAGTGACCATTGCTGTCAAACCAGTATTTTTTCAGTACCGATATTGAATTATTGATTTTGTAAATATTTTGAATGATATTTTATTCTTATATTTTCTGTTTTCAGTCATTTTTTGCAGTCTTTTTATATTTTTGAATGTCTATATGCTTTTTATTATGTTTTATTTTTCATTTTAGTTTTATTTCAGTTAAAGGTGTAGCGTGTAATTTTTTGACTGTTCAAAAGGCATAAATATACTAAAATATGTTTGCAGAGATTTAGGAAACATGCTAAGTTCAAATACTTGTTTCTCTGAAAAACAATGCTACCGCCAGTTATTTGGTTATTTGGACTGCAGTACCCATTTCAACCACTAGCTATCAATATTACATACTGCACCTTTAAAGGGTTCGTCCACCCAAAAATGAAAATTCTGTCATTAATGACTCGCCCTCACGTAGTTCCAAACCCGTAAGATTTTCGTTCATCTTCGGAACACAAATGATGATCTTTTTGATGAAATCTGAGAGCTTTTTGTCCCTCCTTGTTTTATCGGTTTACCACCTTTCTAGGGCTTGAAAATGGTTGCTGCATAGGCTAACTACTACTTCCAAGCTCCAGAAAGGTAGTAATTGCATCAGATGCTATCATATTTCATCAAAAAGATCTTCATATGTCTACTGATGATGAACGAAAGTCTTACGGGTTTGGAATGACATGTGATTAATGACAAAAATTTCATTTTTGGGTGAACTAACCCTATAATGTTTATTTTATTTCAAGGAATGAAAATGGTTTTCATAGATTCAGTTTACAACAATAACCTGTCAAACTTCAAAAAAGCACCATAAAAGTCTCATATGTTATATTTATGTGTTATATTCCAAGTCATATTATAGCTTTGTGTGAGAGATCAAAAGTTCTCATTACATTTAATGTTCATTCGTATTCAGTCTATTCTTAATAAAAAGATATAATTCAATTATAATGCACAAAAATGCATAATAATGCACAAAAATATAGTCCATTAACTTGTAAATAGTGAACAAGATGCATGGACTGTTTTCATGTTTTTTGTTCACTTGAAAGAAATCGTGAGCTTAGAATTATAAGGTTCTATCTCCACTTTTGGTCGAAATTGAGTTTTTGACATAATCTTATCCATTAGGTGTTTATTAATGCCTGTGTGGTGTTATTTTTGTAAAAAAAAAAAAATTTGTTAGTAGTTATTAATAAAATAAAAAGGTTCCATCTCACAAAACAGCAAAACTTGAGTAAAAACTTTGATGCTCAATATCTCAGAACTACCCTAAACGTCGATAGAACCTCATAATTCTAAGCTCACGAAATGTTGTTAAAAATTCTTCAGAAATTCTTTTTTCCAAAGAACAAACAAAAGTCATTTAAGTCTTGAATCACAAGAGGATGAGAAAATTGGGATTAAAATGAAATATTTAACACCTATGGGCTGCTTCCAAACAGCCAGAACAACTCATTTTAAAATTGAACCAGGTTATTGAGAGGAAAGTAAAAGAAAATCATGGAATAATGTAGTTTGAGAGTTGATGTGTGGGTAGATGAGATGAGTAGGTTCACATGAAATCCGTGACCGCAGTTATCCAACAAAAGCTCCACATATTTCTGCAGAATTCAAATAGCTATTACTGACAAAATACTACACATCTCCTGCTTTTTATAGGGCTGGGTATTGCCAACAACCTCACATTCAGTGAAGTGTCAAGGCATGATCCTACAGGACAATACTCACGTTTGCTATTACCATTGGGGCTTTCAGGCCATGATACATTGGGTACTGTGGGTGCTGTGTGTGTGAACTGATCAACTGAGAGCAAAAACACATGAGATCAAACATGAGACAGACACACACACAATTCAGCAAATGAAACACAGTTGATGAACATGACCACAAAAACAACCATGTGATCTATGAATTATGGATGGCAATTTTATAGTTGTCTGGTTTTAATTCTGATGGTTTTACTTTGCTTACTTTTACCACCCCTTTATGTTTTGATCCCTTTTAAGTTTTAAATCGTCCCAATACTTGTAGTTTTAAAGTCTCTTCAAGTCTGATCACATGCATCATGATGCAACTGAAATATAATAGTCCTACTAATAAAACATTTCTATGATAAACATTACCACCTACTTTTTCCATTTACAGAGTGGATGACCTGGATATCTGAAAAGAATATGAAGGAATTATGTAGGACAACATGATGGTGGTGATATGTGAGCAACACACAATGAAAGCCAATCATGATCCTCTTGATTTTAAATTACTAAGAAATAATGACAGCCAGAATAAAAAAGAATAAAAATCACAAAATGAATACAAAAGCAAAAATGGACTGTATAACACTGTAATTCTATTAAAACCATTAATGCAGAATATGTAATTTCTCCACTAGTGAATGGCGGTAAACCAAGAATATAATATAATAAAATATAATATAATATAATTAATAAACAGTGGTGGAAAGAGTACTGAAAAAGCATACTCAAGTAAAAGTACTGTTACTTGTCAAAAAATGTAGTGAGAGTAGAGTAAAAGTACCTGTCCTAAATACTACTCAAAGTAGGAGTAAAAAGTAGCCCTTTTAAAAGTACTCAAGAGTAGTGAGTAGTGAGTATTATGCTATTAATGTTAGTCCACCTTGTACCCTGCAAATTGAAAATGTAGCTTACTCTTTTATCACAGATTCATAGAAAAAAAGAAACAGTAGGCTATTTCAATATTTCTCCAACAGTTTTATTTTTGACTGCTAGCACTAAAAATACAGCGTTCCCCCAACCATTTTTTTTGGACTACCCCCGCCCCCCTAAAATGCTGACAAAATCCAGTCATAAAAAAGGAATTTACTGTATAACGCGAAATGTCACGGAATTTGGAATTTTTTTGAGGAATAAATAGAAAGCAGTTCAGTACACTTGAAATCAAATCGCGATATAGTGTGTGTGTGTGAATATTAAACCACAAAGACAATTTAAATACAAATCCTGCATGTTCTGTGTGAACGAATGGTGCAGCCGACGTGCAGTTTAATTTACCACACACACACACACACACACACACACACACACTGAAGCACGTGTGACGCTTGCGCTGTTTTTTTGCCTATATGAAGACACGAATGCATGAACTTCCTCCATGCTCAAGATCCACTCCGAAAGTCACTTCGTGAACAAAATAAATTGGCGCCAGGTGTCTCGAAGTCTGTTGATGCTGGTTTGATGCAAAGTTTTCCGCGCGCGATTTGATTTGACGGGAATCACGCATGAGTCACATGATGACTTATTATAAAAATAAATATTAATATAAATGTAGCGACGGCAGGTTCAGGGAAAATAGCGCAGTAAAAGTACCGATACAACACTTAAAATGTACTCAAGTAAAAGTAAAAGTACACTGTTTTTAAACTACTTAAAAAAGTACAATTCCTAAAAAAAACTACTCAATTACAGTAACGAGAGTATTTGTAATTCGTTACTTTACACCACTGTTAATAAAATATAATATAATACATTTTGCTACAAACCATGAACTATGATTAATAAATGTATCACTAATAATATAATAATATTATATATATATATATATATATATATATATATATACAGTATATTATGTATATGCTACAAACCATAAGTACTGTACTTGCATTATTTTATTAATATTATCCAAAATTAGACCACATTTAAAAATGTAAATGTATATTTTAACCTAGACAATACATGAATGTTTTAGGATTTAAAAAATATTTTAACAAATAAATGTTATGATAAAATACAACAAATAAAATAAATATTCTGTACTTTTTCTGGGACAGATTTTCTTGCTTAGATTAAAGCAAAGCTGTCAAGATGTTTTCTTGTTGATACCTGTGCTTTTGACAGATGAGGTGTGGGAAAGTCCATTGTGCTGTGTGTTCTCGACGGTCTCCAAACTGGACACGATCGACTTTGGCTTGAACTCTTTTTTGGGCCGATTGCTTGCGGTAGATATCCTGCGAGAGCAGATGCCAATATGTGTGCATAAACTCAATTGTAAATTAGCATGAAACCTTTTTATTTTGAACACTTTGATAACATCACAATTTTTTTTTTGTCTGGTGTCTAAAGCAAGGAACCCACAACAAGGTCTGAATTCATCTTTTTCTGTTTTCTCACAAAATGTGTTTTCCTTACTGACCGATGAAGATGGACCAACAGTACATACTGTTACTGTCATACTAGATCCATGTAATATTGACTGGGAATATGGCTGACTTTCAGCTCCATCTATTGAATTGCCAGCATGTGCAGTTGAAGATATACCTGTTCTGTATTTTGCTGTTGAGTTCCTCCAGGATCTCCAAGGACTGTCGATGGTAATCCAGAGCTGCCTCAATCAGAGCTGATAACTGACTCACTTGCTCCACCTACAGGCGAGTGAAAGACATGACGTTTACAGAAGTTAACCCCAGAACAGAAACTTAAAGTCCCCCTGTGGTGAAAATCAAGCTTTTAATGTTGTTTATATGTCTACGTTGTGTTTTTAATATGCTTTTTAAGACAAACCATGTGCAAATTCATAAGTCAGCACCATTGCTGAGTATTTTCTCCTTAAAACTGCAGTGAACCAAAGACAGTTTCATAATCGCGGTTTTAAATCGCTGGTGTTTCTGACGTCACAAACTACCTTATAACCAATCACGTCAACGTGTGATCGTCAACGAATGGATCTCTGACCTGGTGTGAGTGAGTGGAGGCGGGGCTAATTTACATATTCATTGCACTGCATATACTAAATACTAAAGGGTGTAGAGTTACATTCAAGCTATTTTAAGGCATGAAGACGATTTTGTTTAAGGAAAAAACTTAAATATGTAATTTTGGTGATCAAAGATGAGTTTTATGGGTTAAAAGTATTGACTACAGGGGACTTTAATTTCCAGTGCCGTGGCTGCATGGCAGTAGTTTTAAGTACATTTATGGAACATACAAGAAACTGTATGAATACACAATATGTGAAAATACAAATACATGTGCAAATATATGTGCAAATAACAAATACACAATATGTGCAATATACATGAAAAAGCTATAGTGCAGAACATAGTTTATATACAAAATGTATTTGGACACTCGAACCAAATTTAAAAATGTGGGATTAAAGACAATATATATATATATATATATATATATATATATATATATATATATATATATATATATATATATATATATATAAATGTGTCACTTAAATATTGTAAAACAGAAAATAAAAATAAAATAAGGTTTCATTTTTTAACATGAACAAACAATGAAAAAGTTATTTTGTATTAACTAACAAAGGTTATCAAATGTTGTAAAATATATATACTGCTCACTGTTATTAGTTCATGTTATTTAATACATTAATGTAAAAACCTCACTGTAAGTGTTACCAAAATAAAATGTTCTCAACAGTAATTTTCTCCTTACATCATTCTCCAAAAAGTTAAACATGCTACTTTCAGCAAGTTCTTTGGATTCCTCAAACTTCTCCACAGCCTGTTTGATCTCCTCATCAGGAATCTTGCCCTGGCGCTTCTTCTTATAGTCAAAGTCTAGCCGTCGTCCCTCCAGTTTCTTCAAATGATGCTATCGGGGAAATCACACAACATGCTTTCATTAAGTAATAGGCCAAGAAGGCTAAATTATTGGCCGATGCTTATTATCTCAAAATGATCAAACACTGATCAATTAATCGGCCTAGTCAATATAACTGTATTTCACTAAACTTAAACAAAAACTGCAAATGCACAAACTGCTTGATGTTCAACCTTAAAGACAAATTCATTCTGTAAATGACAGTGTCTACTAATAGGGGAAATCAGGGAAATAAACGAGTAGTATTTGCTTGGTCAACATATCGGCCACCATGAGGGGGTGACGTGCTCCAAGTAAGCAGCTTTTTCTAAGCCACAGATATGCCTGGATTCTTCATCTCATGCGAGTTTACATCTTTTCAAACCTCATTTCAAAAGACCTTTAAGTATAAAACATTTTTAAATGCAAAATCCTATTGCACTTTTAATAATTCCTTCAAATGAAATGATAATAAACAGTGAAATGATGTCGTACCACAATCTCTTTGAGGTCTTTGTCTTGTAGAGTCTGAAGTGGGTCAATGAAGTTCTGTTTCACGTTGATATCGAGGGCGTCTTTAATATCGGCCATCTGTTTCATGGCTTCACCAATGTCCACCAGCGCAGCCCCTGAGAAGATGATGTAGACCCACTGAAGCAATGATTTACTTCCATAAAAAAGATAAAAAAAATAATAAAGCATTTAACTGTGATTTAAAAATGGGTAACACAAGCAAGTTTTTGGAAATATATATAATTACTATATATACATATATCGCTGTCGAGCGGAAACCTTCATGTGATGAACTCTGCTAATAAATGTCGTTTCCCCCCTTTAGTGAAGAAATTGTGCATCTAACCTGATTGAAATGGAGACTGAAGATAAACCAGTTAGGGAAAGTGCAAGTGCAACCCTCTTTTTGCTGTTGTTCATTCTTATGATTGTAAATTCGATAAATACTTAGTGCTAAATGTTTTTCATTGATTTGTATTTAGGGGTGGGTGTCCCTTATTTTAAACTGGATACAATTCAAGCTTTGAACACTACTCAAGCTAAATGGCCATTCCTAAAAGTATTTTGAACACACTGAGGGAGTTTTGAATTTGTACTTGAGTAGTATTTTTTTGTGCTTTTTCGATATGTTGGAATTGTTGTCTCTATTTGATATGTTTGGATTTATTGGACTTGTGGAACCTGCGTATGGGTATTATGAATTTATTATTGGACTTCATGAATATGTGAATATATGTTGTTTATATGAAACAAGATATGATAGGGATCATATCAATTAATATAGAAATTTTTTAGATTCCTTTGGGATGGTTTAATTTATGAATAATTGAAATTTTTCTGGATAATAAATAATATACAAGACTTACACCCCTTTGGAACGCAGTAAATCGTCACACCTCATATCTCCATATTTCTCTGCCATGCCTCTATGCAAATGTGTAAATAAAGAATAAGTAGTGTTTTCTTGATAGATAGATAGATAGATAGATAGATAGATAGATAGATAGATAGATAGATAGATAGATAGATAGATAGATAGATAGATAGATAGATAGATAGATTGATGAATAGATTGATTGATTGATTGATAGATTGATTGATGGATGGATGGATGGATGGATGCAAATGCTTCAAATTAATGTAGCAGAATCCATACAACACTAAATCCAATTTTATAACACAAATAGATCTGCCTTAATTCTGACTGGATGAGCCACATTGGGAGTCATTGTAAAATAATTGGTATTTGCACATTTGTGTCTGGCATCAACAAAGCACCACAAGGTGTCAGACTCGTGTTTAAATGTTATAAGGAAGGACAGCCCTATTACAGGAAACACGTTTCACAACGCACAATGTTCAAGTTTGTGTGACTCAAAGAGAGATAGAGAGAGAGAGAGAGAGAGATATCGACTAGCATTCCATCGCATTGCAGCTGGATTTCTGCAACTGTTGGTCTGTGGTTCATGTCTGTGCATGTGTGTACGTGACTGTTGGTATGTGCAGACGTTACCGAAAGTGGACTCCTCCCCCAGTTCCCGTCCATATCGCAGCATGCTGTCTCCTAATAGGCCTTCGGTTTGAGGATAACCCGTCGTCTTTACCTGCCCTCGGATTTTAGACACGGTGTTGAGCATTCCCAGTTTGGCTCTTGATGCTGTGCCGATATATGTGACATACACTCATGATCAAACCATTAATCATAACACTGCACTCTAAACATGAGTCATTGCAAGTGAAGTTACAGCAGGAGGGAATCAGTGCCTACTCACAAAATAAATAAATAAAATGATGCATGCAAAAAGAAAACAGAAACAATACAATTTCCAAATACGAGATAAAACAGTGTAAACCACTTTTTTTAAAATAAATTAACATTGTGGAACAGTGATGACGTTTTAGAGGGAGGTGATTTGTAAGTGTTCTCATTGAGTGAGATCATCATTTTAATGAGAAAATATGTGAATATTCAACAGTATTATTGATTTGACTGCACTGTCCGACATTATTGGATGAGAACTGAAATAAACTGGACGATGAGATCACTGTTTTCTGCAGAACTTCTTTATAGATGCAATGAACTATTTTAATAATTGATGATCTTTACAACGGAACTAAATTAATACTGAACTGACTGAACAGCAGAAATGAACTCTGTTTGCATCAATGATCAGTATTTTCCTGTGTATCACTGTAAAGCTGCTTTGATTATATAAAGCAAGTGCTTGACTTGACAATCAGGTCCACAAATCAGTCAGAATGGTGGAAATGGATGGATTACATTAGTTAACAATTCAACCACTCAACATTGTAGATTACATTTAGATCGAAATACACAAAAAATCTGAGTTTGGTTAAATTGAAGGTCTGCAGCCATCATGCCACATTACTTATTTACAGAGGATTTGATGACTGATTTTTACTGTTCTATTGTAATCATTTTTGAAGAAAATGAAAAACTTTAACAGGAAGTAATAAAATCGGCATATTAAAATATTTTGTTGAAGGATCATGTGACACTGAAGACTGTAGTAATGGCTGCAGCAAATTCAGCTTTGCATCACAGGAATAAATTACATTTTAAAATATATTATAACAGAAAACAGTCATTAAATTATAATAATATTTCATAATTTTAATATATGGAGTAAAAAAAATTTTTTTGGAACAGTGAATCTGCTTAGACTTTGACTTGGATTTAATAAATAGTATGGTAGTATAAACAAGTTATTGCATTGGACACTTTGTTGATGGTGTAAAGTAAGTGGTGTTCCAAAAGTCTTTAACACAAAAACCATGCCTAGCCTCCTCATTTCAGAAGTAATATGAATGAATAAATGCACTCAAGTGCAAATTGCTGTAAAGAAGTCTGATTTCTGATTCGTACCTGGGTTTGGTTGAAGGTATTCTGTGGTTTTAGTCATAAGTTCAAAAACAGACTTGTTGGTGACTTCTATTTTCTGTAAAGGTGGGAAAAGCAGTAAGAGTAAATAGAGTAAAGATTAAAGATGGTAAGAGTAAATATGCTTGTAACGTGTGAAGAAGAGGCTAATTTCTGCAGTTCTCACCCGCTCCATTTCCATGAAGTCTTCATCGAGTTTTGTCCCTTCTGCACCGCTTATCTTTTCACTTAATAACTAGAAAAAGAGAGAGAAAGAGAGAGAGAGATATTAGATCAGGGACAGGAAGTTTAGGCAAGCTGAAATCACATGATGTTTTCCTGTGCACAAACTGGGTAGGGCGGAAGCAAAAAAAAAAGAAAATCAATAAAGATGTGTGTGTTGAAACCAGCAGTTATAAGATGATAGTATAAACATTTTGTGGTGCACAATATTTGGGAAGCACAATATTGGATTTTTGCCGATATTCAACATGCTGAATCGGCCCAAAATACCCCAATGGGGTCCGACTAGAGCCAACGGTGCGGAAAAAACTAAGCCGAAGGCAGCTCAAAAACGGCCCGACGGCAGACCGTCACCTTGGTGAGTCCTATAATCACGCCCACGGACCGGTGGCTGAACGTCTGATGAATAAGGCACACTTTTCTGGAAACACTTCAGGAGTTGAATTCTGCAGGATGTCCGGGAGACATGTGTGTTGCGTTCTTTATTGGTGAACAATATAAGAAACGCCAGGAAACAAATGCCGTGATACCAAAACCCCTCGTGGAAGAAGAAAGCCGTGCTGTTTACAACTGTGACAATGAGTGCTTACCAGGATCAACTAAACGCTGGATTTTCAAAAGTATGTGAAGTTCACGGCTCCATTGTTGCAGTAAACTAGCACAACGTTCTTGAATGAATAATTTATTAGATGCATGCCGGTCTGTTGTTGTAGGGACATCGACGTTATATTCCCACGCCCCTAAACATGACGCGGAACAAAACGAACTGTGATTGGTTGCGTTACTCGTCAGTCAAACGTCCTCTTGGGCAGTCTTTGGCCAAGAAAAGCTGCGATAGAGTCCAGACTTTCTGCCGTCAGTCTGAAGGTCTGGCTACACAAGACTAGGTGTGTCCCAACCTTAAGTATCTGGTGTCCCCACTCCCAGAATGTTTCTATGAAGTTTCAGCTCAAAATACCCCATAGATCATTTATTATAGCTTGTCAAATTTGGCCCTATTGGGGTGTGAGCAAAAACACACCATTTTTGTGTGTACCTTTAAATGCAAATGAGCTACTGCTCCGGCCCCCTTTCCAGAAGAGAGCAGAGCCTTTACAGCTTGTGCTTCGGATTAGAGGGCTGCATTGGGATTGAGTCCCGCCGGGTCCCATGGGACCCAACGCAAATCTCGCGGGAGCGGGCGGTTTGAACTTTGCTGCGGGTGGGAATGGGCGGACAAATAAAACCCCTGCGGGATTGGGAGGTAGCCTAACGACATGATGGAGATGTCAATGATGTGGAAAAGAACCTTAAACGAGGTATTTACAGTACAAAACCTGAGCAAGGCAAGTCTGAAATTTACTATTCATCTTCCTGATCAGTGCGTCAGAATACATGCAGGCCAGGGAAACGAAACCAACAACCCCATGAATCTCTTTAACAATAGCAATACAAATACGCGTTTTTTTCCTGCAGGACGGGAGAAGACACAAAGTCAGTGCATCTCTATTATTGTGCGGGAATAAATTATCCGAGTTTTGCGGGTGCGGGCGGGAGTGGACATACATATTGCGGGAGCGGGCGGGAGTGTAACACATACGTTCCGGGAGCGGGCGGTAATGGTCAAAAATTCGGCGGGCGCGGGCGGGAGCGGGATGAAGAAAACAGTCCCGCGCAGGACTCTACTTCGGATACTCCGACAGACTCAGGAAGAAGTTACAACCTTTAGAATGCAACTGGGCGTTTATGAATGGCTAGTGGATAAAATGATGTAGTTGTTATTAATCTCATCGACTAGCATGTACCGTCATGTTAATCTAAAACTCTTTCAGAAACAACTTTTGTGCAAATCCAGTGTTGAACTGACCCTCGTTTGGAAAGCAATCCAGCGTAAAATGATTTGCGCAAAAAATACATAACACTTCAATGACTTTCTTCGGCACATTTCCTTCATAAATTAAATTCAACCACGGTGTCCTCAGTGACTCCGATGCCAGGAGTCTATGGAGACTCTAATGTTTGTTGGTACATCCAAAAACACTAAATTTGTAATGTGTTGTTTTTTTCCGCAGACATTGTATATCTCCAGCTGCTACAGCAAGGAAACAGAATGGCGGACTGCTGTGGCTCACTCAGGGCGGTATCTATGCTAAAAGAGCAGATCGCCACCAGTCATGGGCAGGGCCATAGTTTGGAGAGACTGTTTATGATTCATGGGGATTATAAAAAAGGATTATCAGCCATTTATAAGCTAGTTGTGGACACACATCTGTGTTCAAACACCTTCACAAAAAGTGAATTTTGAAATTTGAAATAAGAATCCTGTGATAGGCATCAGCTGATGCAAGCTTGATTAACATGACCAGCCAGAACTGACGTTATACGTTTGATTTCATCTGTATTAGCCAGAATCTCAATATCCCTAAGATATTTATTATATAAATAGTCCACTAGACTGTTTGACTGTTTGTTGAAAACTATTTTGAAACACACACAACTAGGCTAAAGAAGATGTCATTATGTGTAACATTGAGTGGCCACTCTAAAGGAAAAACTATTATCTCAGTATGTGTATGTGTGACACATCAAATAGTGCTAAACATAACAATCCAGACTAGTTAAGCAGCACTAATAATCACTAAGAGGATTAACATTTCTTGCATAGTAAGACATAAATTAGGTTAACATTTTTGCCATGTAGGTCAGTGAGCATAGATTGAAAAATGACCCAAAAAAAAGGAAATAATTCAGACACGATTACAACGATTTTTAATCAGGAATGTTCAATAGACCTGTGTATGGTGGATAGGATGTACAGTATGTCAGATTATGGAAGTAAAATAGGTACAGAACGGCTCTGCACATTGACTTTTGGGTTGATTTTTATTTTCCTTGCAGATATGTACAAAACAAGAAAATGCATTTCTTTTACCATGCGTGTATCTTTGTCAAACCTCAAAAATCTTTGAAATCATGTCTTAAAAGTTTTGATTTGGATATTACACTCCAATTCATCACCTGTCTCACTATACAGAGCTTCTATAAGAATGACAAGTTGATGAGCTGCCTACTAGTTGATTTTGAAAATGTGTAGTTTTTCACACACCTACTGTTCCATTTATCTATAGTTCAGAAATTCATCTGTTTCCTCATTGGTAATACAAAGCACCGAGTGTGGCCGTATGAAGTGGCCTACATTTATACTAACACACACTTGTCAGAGTCAGAATACTGACCTACTTCAGTTTGTTTACCATACCGCTGTGAACGAGTGATGAAGGCGTTGAGGTCAGGAGGTCTTTGCAAAACTCTCTCTCTTTAATGCACTGGTGACTGCAAGCAGAGGTTGTTCAAACACCCACATGAAACGCTCACACTGTTCAGAAAATGCTTCTAATGACAAGATTGTCATAAGCAACGTGATCAGGAGAAATTGTTGGCAAGAGTTTACTGAATGAATCATAGGGTCCTCACTGACTGAATCGGATCAGATGGCTCACTCACTAAATTGCAGGTTCTCAAAATAAAGAATCAAAATAAATAAAGAACCGTTACTGTATAACTGTGCCCTAATAGATAGATAGATAGATAGATAGATAGATAGATAGATAGATAGATAGATAGATAGATAGATAGATAGATAGATAGATAGATAGATAGTAGGCTTGGGCGGTATCCAAATTTTGATACCGTCAAACCTCCTCCCTATTTTACCGCGGTATACGGTATTACCGCGTGACTAATTAAAAATTATTACATAAGGCTCAGACGGCATCACCAAACTGTTGGTTTGTGCAGGGATGAGTCACAATTTTCGAATATTCAATTATTTGATTTTATTATAGAATATGGAATAGGTTGTGGGATTATTGTCTATAAAAAATCCCCATGTTTTCCGTTCTGATGCGGTGGTGACACGTTCAACCAGAGGGTGGCGATGCCAATAATGCATCTAAAAGCTGTCAATCAACTCTCAGACAACAGGAGAAGATGCACATTGTGAGCGGAGCATGTGAGCGGAGTGGTAATATTTCCTCCAGAGCAGAGAGCGCATTTCTGAAGATCACGCGCCGCGTGCTCAGTCCACTCAGCGTCGCGCGCTCAGCATGCCCGCAGTGACATGCTGGTTAGAAAACATGTGAAGTAGGGCTGCCCGTGGAATTTTTTTTCTAGTTGACTAGTAGTAGTTGATTTAAGCCATTAGTCTAATCATTTATATTGATTAAATTACTTAAATATATATAGGAGAGAATGCTAAACCATAATGAGCGTTTTCGTAATATATAGCCTATTCTGCATCTCAAAGCACACATAAAGCTTGCCACAAAGAACCGGCAAAAGTAATTATTATGCATGAAACATTTGAATTGTTTATTAATAAAAAACGTTCTATGTCAGTGGCTGCACAGATAAAGTTTACGATGCAGACTCGCATCTTCGCAGTAGTGAACACGCATAGAGAGAAATGCACACTTCATATGAATTAGCCTACAGAGAGCAGCCCATTTCTTTTAGTTTTTAATTGTTTTGTTTAAAAGTAGACATTTCAAGCTTTCTATATATATACACTTCTCAGATATTTAAGGCATCTATCTTATACGCTGAGTTTCGTTTATTTTAGGAGACGCGCTCCAGTTCACGCGCCGGCTTATATTGTCTAATATATATCCTTCTTATTTATTAATCCAGGCAATTCGTTGATGAAACATTGATTAAAATGAAGATACAATTTATGCGAAACGAAATTCACTTTAAAGAAAGGCTTTCTACAAAACAAAACGTAATAAGTGGTCAAAAATCATGTCTGACCCATTCCAAATGTTTTCCGATATTGGCCATCTTATGATCCTATCTTATTCATCTCATGCAGTTTCCTTTTCATATAATCAACATAGATGAAATAAAAAAAAAATAACATTATATTATTAAACATAAATATGAAAAGAAATGAGTTTATTTATTTATTACTTATAGCCTATTTAAGTGTCACACCGCTCCGCTGTATAGCTGTGTAGCCTACATGCATGTGTGCGT